ACCATTATTTTGGCTAGCGGGCTATCGCTAATTTCGAGCTCTGCGTAAACACGAATTTCAACTACTTTAGTTATGGCATAAACCTCCTAAACATAGAATCCATTATGAAATTAATAACTGCACTCCCGGCAATAATAGCACGTTGTTGGCTCGTTTTGGTAACCTCAATGTCGGACTACATTGTCAAAGGTACCAGGATCGAATCCGCAATAACGGCGAAATATTATTTTATTTTAATACATGTTTTAAATCAAATCCTACTTTCGTATTGAAGTTGATTTCATTTTGTTTTGGTGAACCATGGCTTTAGATTTTTTTTTAGGGAAATCAAGTCCTGAAAACTATTTGGTTGATACTCTGGTTCCCAGAGCCAAACATTCTGACGTCGAATATTGTCAGGTCGGGGAACCAGATCGAAAGTAACGATAGCCAAGGCGTTTCATGAATGTTATTTTGTCATCTTTTGTTTATTTCTACACAGAGTGGGATCCCGCCACCGCCAACGGTAAGTGTAGAATTCGCAATCTCTGTAATCTACGGAGTTTGATTTTAAGGTTTGTTCCCGGTTTCGCCATAATTGGGGAATATGCTGTCACTATCGAAATTATTTAGGCCTACATGCCATCAACTTGATACAATCTTGGCAAATAAATCTGACAAAGAGAGGAAAGGAGAAATTATTATTATAGAAATTATTATTTTTATATATGTATTTATTATAAATATAAATAAATTGAATTTTGATCGTCATTTCCTTCATCAAGTAAAAGGTATGCCGTTGCTTAATTGAAATCAATGCCAAGCTTGCTTTTAAACTTAAAGCCACTTTCTGCTAGATAAGTCATTAGATTACGAATTCATCCGAGGACATTTTCCGATATGGTTATATTTTCGAACACAAATGATTAGAAATACCGTTGCAATGAATTAATGTCATTCTTTCACCATGTATTTTTTTCTAAATATCTATACCGATGATGGATGAACATCTGCAGCCGCCCCCACCGGTAAGTGTTCACATTCTTCGCAAACTTCGAAGTTCTCAGTTTGGTTCGCGGGTTCGCCATAATTGGGGGATATGCTCTCGTTTTAAAAAGTATTTACAGGATTTCGGGACTGGCTGCAAAATGGGGAAATATTACTGAATCGGCACAACGACCTTCATTTATTTCATAACGACAAACGACTTTGTGCCATCCCCTGTTTGAGCTGCTTTTGACTCTTCGGAAGAGTAAATAGAATCAACTGCACCATCCAATAATATCAATGCAAGATTTGAATACGAACTTGTGCGTTTCATCAATTCCAAGTTTCCCCCAACTACATTATTCACAAAACATACAAAAGACAAAGCGATAACAGCGATTTCTTTTGTGTAAACACTTTTTTTTTTATTTAATGTTTTAAATAATATCCTGTACTTCTTATTGAAGTTGATTTTATTTGTTCTTAGTGATCCATGGCTTTGGGGATTTGTAAAGGAAAATAAAGTCCGAAAACCATTCGTTTGATAGTCTGGTTCCCAGATCCAACGATTTTGACATTGAGCATTATCAGGTCAGGGAACCAGACGCTCGACTACCGTAACGCGTAACGATAGCCAGGGCGTTTCAAGAAATGTAAATTTGTCATCTATTTTATTTCCACACAGAGTGGGATCCCGCCACCGCCAACAGTAAGTGTAAATTCTTTGTAGTCTTCGGAGTTTGTTTTAAGGTTTGTTCCCGGTTTCGCCATAATTGGGGAATACGCTCTCATAGTTAGACCCTATGCACGAATTCCTTTTGAAGCAGAATCGCTCTTTGTCTGGACGTAACTTGGTTTGTTTGCTGTAAAACTGCCAGTACTTTACTGCGGCATGTACCCACAGACTATGTCTTTGTGAGCAATTATGGAACGCGCTTAATTCAGATATTGCACTGTCGACCTTAAACTTGTAACCAAAAACTTAAATGCCCAAACAAAAAGTATATTTACACGGAAAACAGGTAAAGCTAAATTTCTTTCGATAATAAAAATTGATTCATTTATATTTGTTTGCTTACCACATCTCTACCCAGGGTATGCCCAGACAACTTAAAGCTAGATTCCACTTGGGCCCTGCAAACATTACAAATTACTACACACACGTACAATGACAGATACAATACAGTATAGTAGGCCTACAGTAAAATCAAAGCACACGGAATTCATGAATAAATTGTAAACATATGACTGTTAAACAACAACGTTTAACAGGCTTTACAATTAAAGGTAAGTGAATGTGTAGGCCTATAGGCCATAGAGCTATATTAAATTACTAGAGTGCTAACTCCTCATTCTGCGCGCGGGGCGCTTTGAAGCCGTCCTGGGCGCAGACATTTTGAATTCATGTGCGTGTTTGTAGAACATAATGAAATTAGATGGATTGAATTTTGAAAGTGTATTCTAAATGCAACGTGCAAGTAGAAGATACGCAAACAACTTAAGCGCGTCATTGACGGTTCAAAAAACGTGACGACAAAAAGCATCTGCAGCGCACTCGTTGCGCTGTTAGCGTAGAGCAAAATGACACGCTCATTTGCTGACCGTGCGTCTTGGTTCCGGGCGTATTGGCTTCGATAGCACACATAGATATAGAACTTGAAATAACTAGATCGGACGCGCGTTCGAACGCGCAATTTACTGTGCACAAAACGTCTGGGTTCTCCATGGACGCGCTGCAAAGTCACGTGAATAGGGCCACGCGCTAAGGGCAGCTGGTGAATGCTGGACAGAAAAATATCGCCAACACCCCCACCTGAATTCAGCTATGCGTTGAAGTTCTTAACAACAGGTTGACATTTTTAACTACGATTTTTGACAATGTGACACTTCAAATTCCTCTGAAAAGTTACACATGAGTTTGCCTCTGTGTCTTTTTTGGGGCCAAATTGGCGACTGTGTTGAAGGTAATTGATTTTCAGGCAAGAATACTAATTTGTACCAAAAAGTAGCCACATTGTGTTCTTATATATTTAACAAAGCAAATGTCAAAAGCGTAGTAAAATGTCAATCTGTTTCATGAGATTTTCCCCTCTTTTTTAAAATGTGCAATAAAAATCAACCGTTACTTGCCTATCAGACAAAACATAAACTTATAAGTTTACCAACATCAAAATGAAATAACAGAAAATCATTTTGTAAACGAGCAACGATAAAAACGGGCACTCGAAATATTGCGTTGCTTTAATAATAATAGCTTTATTTACAGATGGTATCCATGTCACCTGACAGATGATTTTCAATGGGCCATCAATTAATACTGCTAACCTCAATTATAGGAACATTACATTTGAAAGGAATGGATGACTACAAAAACAAGTCTGGCCATCTGTTGTGAGTACTGAACAAACTAATACTTAAATAACTTTTAGGTAATAAACAATTTATATACAATGAAAACTTACCCGTTAGCTAATAAATAATCTGATGAAATGGCAGTTCCATATCCATAGCATCCATTAATCAAGATGTCAAGAATATCATTGCTCATGAAAAAAAAATACATTTGGTTGTCACCATCCGAATATTTATGTGAAGGTCTAGCCTATGCAACCACCAGCAGGTGAGTATTGCTTCCCATAAATTTATGAACCAGAATAAGTAATCCAATATATCTTCCTCATATGCATGAACGCAAACAGAGGGCTATTCAATCTTTCAATTTCTGAGGAGCAACAATAAGACGATAACGAAATACTAAGCGAAACTTGTTAAATTTTAGCTATGGTCCACGCACGAGGCCCAGTTATGCATGCGTGGCCAGCTATATCCTCATTGTACGCACAGTCGGCAGTGCAATCTTCTTTCTGACAAAGATTACGCTTTCGTCAAGCAGTGCAAACTTCTTCATCTGTTCACTATGATTGTGATTCGTTGAGCAAGGCGCATTTTCCCAGCTCCGGCAAAGTGACTTCCAATTGCATAATAGGCAGTGGCGTCGCCCGGGGGGGGGGGGGGGGGGCAGGGGGGGGGGCACGTGCCCCCCTGGAAAACCTAGTGCCCCCCGAGTGCCCCCCCCCCCCATCTGAGATTTGGGTTGGTAAAAAAAATATATATATATTTTGTTATATTCAACTCCCATCATCTGAGTTGGTTTTTCACAAGGACAAAGAAGCACAGTAATTCGTATTTTCTTCAAATGAGCTGCGAAAAAATGAAAAAGTTTATCCTTGACCGTCGGGTATCGAAGTCGTAACCCGCGCCATCACAACAGGTGTCGATATTTACATTGAATATGTCAGTGCTCACTCCATACCAGCGGCTATACACGTCCGCTTCGCGAGCAACATGACTCATCGTTCAAAACAATGAATTTCCCTGTTCTGGCTGTGCTGAACTACGTCCACAATTTTCAACCTGTTTTCGACTTTTCGTTGTCCTAATCCAGTGTACTGCTAAAATCATGTGTGTGTAATGTATTGAGTTTGATCATGGATAAGTTCCTCAAGAGGAAATCGGACCTGCCAGCGAGTACACCAACTAGTAGCAAGATACCACGAACCGATGTGACCGGTATCGAGAATGTTACTGAACCGCCTGCAGCTGCCGTTCATGAAGGCACGAGTGATGGTAAGCATAATGAATGTAGCATAGGCTGGGCCTAGCCTACCACATCGTAGTACGGTACTAGGCTAAACGTTATGGCGGATTATGGGAAGCGTTCGTCTTTGCGGCTTGAGTTGAACATATTAAAGGGACTGTCGTTCTCAACACATGTTTACATACTGGTAAAGTGGTGAATTGTTATTCTAATGAGCTGTTGTTGATTACAATCATTGGTTTAGGGGACAATCATGAGGTTTAGGGTATAAAAACCCACGATCATAAGGTTAGGGAATATACAAAAAACAGACTATAACAGATGGTCACTCTTTTTTCAACTTGAGCCGGCTTTGCTGCGTCATATATGCCAAGATTGCGTCAGTATACACTCAGTCGAAAAATTGAAGCACGGCCCTAATTTTGCTGAACTGGGCCTAGGCCTAGACTAGTCCATAACCAAGATTGTGGTTCCGTACCTCCACACACAGTCCTTATCTGCTGCACTGGAAAATAAGTCACACGCCGAACGTATGGCGTATCAAAACAACATGTTTAGCAGTTGCAAGGAATTCGTGATTGAAATTCTCTCACTAATACAATCACGGTTGTACATGGGTGGCGTTGAATATTATTAAATTCACTGGCATTTAATTATCTTCACTTTCCGTTCGTTGATACAGATACTGATGTAGAATAGCTGATCTGGGAAGAATCTGGTGGTGAAGAGGATGTGGCTGAACTTGCTGAAGAGCATCTCGAGTTTGCAGAGGAGGAAGATGTCACAGGACAAGATACACCACAACAACCACGGTCCGATGCCAAGGAGACTGCCCCAAGACGGACGCTACCAGGCCCAGCTGATATAAGCCAGTCTCCGGTGGAGGACCCACAACAGCCACATCTCAAGGCCTTCCCTCAGACCACATACGGTGAAAAGAAACGGAGTTTCAACAAGGAGTGGTACAGTGCATACTCCTGGATTGAGTACTCGGCTGAACGGGATGCAGTGTTCTGCTATGCCTGCAGACACTTCCCAACAGCCAATAAGGTAACTGAACAGTCGTTCACACGAGACGGGTTCCGGAATTGGCGACATGCTATGGGGAAGGATGGCAAGTTGGCGAAACATGAACGTTTACATAAGGCTGCGCTGGAGGCTTGGTCAGAATTCAAGCAGAGGGCCAAGTCACAAGCCAACATCGGGAACCTCTTGAATGAGGCACACATCAGGCTGGTCCGAGAGAACAGACATTACGTCAAGGCAATAGCGAAGGTCCTCCGAATGACAGCTACTCAGAAGATCGCACAGCGGGGAAACAGAGAAGGACAATCGAGTATGATTATGAACAGAGGGAACTTCCTGGCCACACTGAACCTGATCTCAGAGTATGACACGATCGTGGCATCAAAACTGTCTGGCCCTCGCAATGCCAAGTACACGCACCCTGTCATTCAGAACGAGCTCCTACACATCATGGCCGATACAGTTCGGGATGCCATCAGAGAGGACATCGAGGCTGCAGGCTACTTCTCCTTGCAGGTTGATGAGACAAAGGACATATCCAAGAAGGAGATAGTCTCATTTGTGGTCCGCTACTTCCACAACAGTGAGATCCATGAGGAGTTTTTGCACTTCAAAGAAGCTGCTGGCCTTGATGCAGGCTCTCTCTTCAGAGTCATCCACAAGACACTCAACGATAGCAGGATCGATATCCAGAAGTGTGTTGGCCAGTGCTATGATGGTGCATCAGTCATGAGTGGGGCGAATGCTGGCGTACAGGCAAAGTTCCGAGAGGTTGTCCCCCAGGCTATCTACACTCACTGCTTCGCCCACCGTCTGAACCTGACTCTTGTGGACAGTTTGAAGAGTGCCAACCTATGTAGTGAGTTTTTCGCAATACTGCAGAAATTGTATGTCTTCCTGTCCGGATCGTTCACTCATCAGGTGTTCCTGCAAGCTCAGAAGGAGTACCTGAAGGACAAACGTCCGGTTGAGCTGAAGCGGCTTTCTGATACTAGATGGGCCTGTCAGCATACAGCCTGCGTTGCAGTCAGTGAAGCACTCCCTGCCGTCATTGCCACTCTCGAGGAATTGGCTGAGGAGAGCAACAAAGACAGGGCTGTGGAAGCCAGAGGACTCCTTGCGGTCATCAACGGAAGCTTCGTGGTGGGCCTGGTTGTTCTGCGGGCGGTTCTGAAGAAAACGAAGACACTCTCCGATCAGCTCCAAGCTCGGGACCTCGACCTCGCTGAAGCAGTCTGTCTCGTGGATACAGTCATCGAGGATCTGGACGAGTGCCGATCATCAGACGAGGCATGGAACACCCTCTTCGAAGAGGCAGAGGTGAAGTGTGCAGAGAACGACATTGCTCTCGAGAAGCCCTCCCGACCTACGAGGAAGCGATCCCTTCCTGCTCGTCTTGATGAAGCGGTCGTTATGGCACCCACTGGGCGAAGAGACCAGATGACAACCTTGGAGGAGTTGAAGGTGAACTTCTTCTACCCAATTTTGGACGCGCTTCTTGCTGAGCTTCGGTCAAGGTTTGCAAAGGACACATGCCAGATCATAAGAGGTACCAGCGCCTTAAGTCCCAAGAACAAAGTCTTCCTGCAAGAAGAGGTCCTCCGTGAGATGGCCAACCACTACGGGTGTGTAGAAGAGGACCTTAAGTGTGAGCTGCACCAAACGAAGAAACTTCTGGAGCGGAAACGGGCTGCTGGCGTCAGGGTGGAATCCATGGTGGACTTCGCCAATCTCATGCTACCATACCGGGATGCATTCTTCGAGATCTACAAGCTCATCTGCATTTCGCTGACCCTTTCCGTGTCCTCAGCCGGGTGTGAAAGGAGTTTCTCTTGTCTGAAGCTTCAGAAGAATTATCTCCGAAGCACGAGTGGAGAGGACAGGACGAGTGATCATGGGGTACTCGCCATCAACTATGGTCGGACAGCATCACTGGACCTCGATGAAATCGTGGATAAGTTTGCACACAGTTACGGAAACAGGAGAATTACCCTGATCTAGTTGCTCATGTTCATAAAGTCATCACTCATCCAGTATTCATGTAGGTCCTCACAGTATGATTCCATCTGACAACCACTTGATCCCGTATTTTACTGTACCTGTATTTCACTGTACTCATTATTAAAGATACTGATCAGGGTTCTATTGCTAACCAAACCTTCTCTCAAATTGCTGAAGAGTGAAGACATGAAACCTACTGTACCTATGCTGCACAGTGTAGTGATCACAGTGATAGTCACTCTGATGCTGTGATTCAAGTGGTATGTTTATTGTCAGTGATCACTTTTGACCTAGCTGGTATTGTCTGCAGGCAAACGCTATGACAGCCTGGGAGGCAGTCCGTCTCTTCAGAACTGTATTCAGTGCTGAAAACTTGGTTTTTAAAAATCAGATGTCAGTCATGAGTTGTCCACCAGTCACTAGGCAGGTGAAATGGGTTTGCCCGAATAGATTTGAAACAGGCTGTTTTGCCATGGCATGCTGAATCAGAACTTATCAAAAAAGACTCGTAATTCTTTGGGTGCCTGCTCTGTGCTTTCATCGTTTGGAGAGCGACAACAAAATTAGTTACAAGTGGTTATGGTACAGTAATAATGGTGGGGCCTTCCCTGTTCCCACTGGAGGTTATAGGGGGGGGGGGTAACCGCTATGTTTTTTTTTTCCTCAAAGTGCCCATGGATAATTGATGTCATTTGATATGATATGAAAAAGAGGGGGTGGGGTATGGATGTTCCATTAAAACAAAGTGTTTGTTAATCATGTCATTTGTTCAAGGCTGGAGGTGGCAACTCCGTTCAGATTAGCAACTCTAATAACGACATGTGTATGTACTTCATAGATAGGAAAGCTTTTATTTTATTCATATTTTACAGAGGAGTCAAACAAGCAGAAATATCATTCTAAAGTCATATAAACAAAAGAGGGGGGTAGAGTATTCCAGTTTTTAAGTAGGGTAGTTGAGAAGGCTCCTATTTTGCTCATATTGTAATATGTGAAGACTAGCAGAAAAATGATACTTTCATTCTTCTCACACGTATCATTCTTTCACGTTCATATTGTACAGAGACAAGCAGAAATATTATACCTTTATTCTTCTGTTAGGCATTACTCTTCCAAGTTCATTCTATTCCTTTTTTAATGCAGTTGACTCATTGTCATGCTGCTTGTGTGCATTTGTCATATGGGTGAGAGTGTTTGTCTGCTGTCTGTGTGTGTCTTTTACCTCTCGTGAATTGGATGCCTGTGAAATGCCGAAAATCTGGACCTGCTGTGAGAAGGGAGGGTACTGCAGTATGTTGCCTTGGTCTGAGGTTGACAGGTAAGGAGCTGACGAAATGTGAGAATGTGAGGGTCCGCAGGCACCATACTTGCCTATATTTGTGGACCCATATATTAACCCTGTTGTGTAGGGGGTGCAGAGGTCATTTGAGGTCAGATGCTTGTAGGAACAAATGGCGAATGTTCACACCTGCATACTGAGCCATACTCGATGTGTGATCAAACTTTGGATTGCATGGTGAGATCCCTGATAGGAGCCAATAACGATGCTGGAACCTGTTACATCTTAATAGATAATGGGAGAAAACGAGAAGGACAAGAAAGGAGTCGGGGGTCATGCACACATTAATTCAACAAATGTAGGTTCTATTGATAGGGTTAGGCATAATATCGACAGCATGTGGTTCATATCCTCTGCAAAATTCTGCGCGTTGTTAAAATCATTACCTCAAAAATAGCAATTTCTGGAGATATCTTCAGATCGAATTTAGCATCAAATGTGGCACCATTTTGCATCTAGCCCATCCTCCGTATGCGAAAATTTTCCAAAGGGGGAGGGGCACCCCCTCCCCTTAGACCCCTCCCCCAGGACGGCGATCCGTATCCACCTAAGTGCCCCCCCCCATCAAATGCTGGTGCCCCCCCCTGTGCCCCCCCCCCCCCCCCCAGACTGAAAAGTCTGGTGACGCCACTGATAATAGGAAACTGTGTTTCCATCTATTCGGCCGTCTCTGGAGTAACAATTGCTCCTCTTTCAGGCCTTTTACCAACTCTCTGACGGATAAGATTTTTTTTCGACATGATCGTCGATTTTCCTGTCGGAGTTGTCTGTTTTCCTGTTCAAGCTTGGATTATATAGCCTTCCTGCTACTTCTGAGGGTAGATCCATTTCTGGTGGTATACTGTATGCATGCTCTATCGCTGATGTCTGTTTTGCCGGTACAGCCATGCACTAAAGCAATATCTTCGACGGGGGCTTGGGTCGGTTCTTTCTTTGCCATTGGCAGCTTATATCTCTCGTGCTGAAGTCCATACACGAGACGGTAGTCTTTCTACGAAATAAAACAAATTAAGCACATGATAGGCCTTTAAATACATGACAGTAATTATCGATAGCCTATCCTGGCCCCAAGGCTCATTGTAATACTTACAGGCTTCAAATGAGTCGGGTAGTCTTCAAAGATTGACGGTGCGGCATCGACACGCAGACGTGTTTTCCCCCATTCCACCCTGAAGCACTCTGCAGGGAAATGGTCGCTGCCAAGACGATCGTGGTTTGTTGGATTCCATTTGCTGCCATTTGGAATATTTCTGATTGATGTGTTCAAACTAGGAGAATGGTGCATTTTCTTTAATCACCCACATCCCACAACAAAAAGTGACTCCCAATCCTTGTTCCCCCGCGGAGTCGGACTATTATTGAAAAGCAGGAGAGGGGAGGGTGATGTTAGGCCAGAAATAATTGTTATTCGATGTTCAGGATCAGGAGTACCATCTTAACTTTTAAAACAAGACACTGAAAATAGTTTAAGTAGGCCCTGCGCGGTTATTACAAAATTCGGAGGATCCTTTGGATCACATATGGGGATTTTTCTCCACACCCATTCCTGTGTTTTATGCCCATTTGGCATTGCGTAACGTAGCCTATATTGAGTAAATGTACTCTCAAGAGATAAATTCTGTGTATTAAGTTACTCACACATGATGTTAACTTCTTGAGAGGGTCCCTTTCTCCGTCTTAGTTGAACTTTACTGCTGCACAGATTGCCACCATTTTCAAGCAGTGATGGAGTACAAGTGATCGTCATGCCGAAGAAATGCGCGTTAACATTTTTGACCCTATTCACGTGACCAATGGCAGCGTCCTGTCAAAACACGCGTATCATACGCGCGTCCGATCTAGTTTTTAAAGTTATATATCTATGATAGCACACCGATTTGGAATACAAACGTAGATATGCAAATAGCCGTACAAAAGCCGTACATAAATTCTAGGTCTTCATAGGTTTGTGCACAAACAAGGATGCGCCCAGCAGGCATTACTTTGTACACGAAGTTAGCGCTCTAGTAATTTAATATAGCTCTATGGTATAGGCCTATCTTTTGTGGGCGGGCCCGGGCCGTCACCGCGTTATGGGGAAGTTTTTCAATGTCAGACAAATTAGGACCGAGTTGTGGGGGCTTTCTGCTTTCCCCTCAGCGTCTTCGATCCCCATAGTACCATGGGACAACTCATGTGTAGTCCCAACAACTAGGGAACAAGTATATGTGTAGAATCTTTTATAGTACCATGTTTTTTTCCCAGTTACCAAGCTCTTGCTTCCTAATTTTCCTGGGTTTTTTTTCCGTAAGAAATTTGTGCCGTTTAATGCTAGCGGTTTACTTTTCTACTTTACCTTAAAGATCGTTTCCGTCCTAAAGTAGAACACGTGTACTCTTGTCCAATTCAAAATACAGGTGTTTCTTACTTGAATTGTTTTCCATCAACGGTAAAGATGTGTTTTAAAGGTATCGAATGTAAATAAATATAGTGAGATTCAAGGCAACCACAGAGAGATTTGAAGTCTCACTAACATTCAAACCAACGTCATTGAGTCAAAATGATCGAAATTATATCCCATTGAGTATATGACTACGTAATGTGCAGATATAGGCAGCAGAGTACTATAGATAAAGTCTTCATGGGTCCAATAATTGGTTCGAATGAGCTTACATAGAGGAGTAACATTTCTGTTTACACAATGATTCCGTTAAGCAGATTGATGTTTACTAAATATTCCTTCTTTGTTTCATTTCATACACATACAGGAAGGAGAATCAGATGAAGCGGTAAGTGTACAACTCATCTATACTTTCCCAGCTGATGTGTACTCAAGTATTCATTCGGATAGCTTGTCTTTGCCAGGAAATATTAGTTCACTATAAAATTGCATTTTGTCAAAATTTAGGGCTGCAAGTTTCTTTTTAAAAACAACTCCACTTTATACTAAGTTTCAATTTTATTTCACCGACAAAACTCGTACTTAACCAAGTATGAAATTCTTCCAAAATTAGATTAAGGTGAGTATTTGTCCATGTTGCAACATGCAGATATCAGTCGACCATTTCCAGAGGCTTCAATGTCGATGAACGACACAATTTTGTTTGCATTTTCATGTTTTAAATCAAATCCGTCTATTTAATCAAGTGATTAATGGCTTTGGGGGATTAAAAAAGAAGAAGAACATCATGTCCCGAGAGCCATTCGGTTGATAGTCTGGTTCCCAGAGCCAAAGATTCTGACGTCGAATATTGTCAGGCAGTGGCGTATCCCGGATTTAGTTTTTTTTTATTGGGGGGGGGGGAGGGTATATTTTGACGTTGGTGGTGCCACTTATTGCGCCACTTACACCCATGTTAAACTACTCGAAAATAAGTCACATACATATCATCAAGGTCAAACTGTGGGACCCCAAAAAATGCTAAAAACAAAATGGCAGCCTGGGGGGGGGGGGGAGGGGGGGGGGGTTAAGTCCCATAGCCTCCCTTGTGTGCGCCACTGTTGTCAGGCAAGGGAACCAGACATTCGACTGCGGTAACAATAGCCACGGCGTTTCAAGGAATGTCATTCTGTCATCTCTTTTATTTCCATACAGAGTGCGATCCCGCCACCGCCAACGGTAAGTGTAGAATTCAATTTCTTTGTAATCTTCGGAGTAAAGCATTGTTCCGCGGTTTCGCCA